AGGCCCATACATTTAGGATTGTTTATCTTCCTGATGAGTAACCCTTCTAGCATCATGGAATATCCCTTTTTTTTGTCTCATAACAGTCCTGTCTTGAGTGTACTTTTTCTGATAGGAATAGTTGCTCCAGCTTTCTTAAGCATACTGTCTGAATTTGTCTTTTTCATTACTTTACTTTTTGCCTATCAGTGTCTTTCTATTTAAGATGCATCCCTAGTAGCTCGGACTTAAAGAAAATTCAGTATGCTGATGTCTTCTTTTTAGTTGGTGTAGGTATTAGTCAGCTGTTCTTTACTTAATGAAATAGCTGGTACAGGCAATTTCTGAAGAAGAGGTTTCCAGGCGTGGTTATACATACCTGTAATCCCAGCACCCAGGAAGCTGAGGCGGGAGGATGGTGGATTTAAGGGGTTAGTCAGAAACTCTCTCTCAAAAAAAGAAGAAGAATGAAAGAAAAAGAAGGAGGAGACAGAAGAGGAGAATAAGATGGAGAAGAAAGAAAAGAAGAAGGAGAGGTTTATTTTGCTCACAGTTTTGGAGGGTCAGGGGTGGTGTCTACACCGGCTCAGCTCTGGTGGGGACCTCATGAGAAATGGTGTGCAGGAAGGATCACATCTTCAACAGAGAGAATGGGGTCCCACGGTCCCTTCTCAGAGCACGCCCCCCCATGGCCTAAGAACCTCCCATTAGGTCCCACCTCTAAAGGTCCACGCTATCTTCCAATACTGCCATCCTGGGGACCAAGTTCCCAACAGATAAACTTTTGAGAATGTAGCCAACTGAAGTCTACAATTCTGCTGTTTTTTCTTTTTCTCCCACTTATGGATTCATTCCTCTACACCTCTCTTTCCAATTTCCCTTGATTTACTTTAATATATTAAGTCCATTTTAGTTTTCTTTCCTTTTTTCTTTTTTTGACAGTCTCCATGTGTTGTCCAGGATGGCCTGGAATTCCTGGGCTAACCCTCTTGAGTAGATGGGACTACAGGGGTGCACCAGTGTGCCCAGCCATTTTAATTTTTCTATTGGGTTTTTAAACTATATCACTTTGCATTTTTTCAATATCTATAGGAATTATAGCAGATCACCCCTAACTTTTCCGAGTTTACTTGCCATTAATATTCCACCACTTCAGCCAGGTGCTGGTGGCTCATGCCTGTGTAATCCTAGCTACTCAGGACGCAGAGATCAGGAGAATCGTGGTTCAAAGCCAGCCAGGGGAAAATAATTCAAGAGACCCTTTCTCAAAAAACCCTTCAGAAAAATAGGGTTTGTTTGTTTTTGGTGGCACTGGTGTTTGAACTCAGGGCCTCATGCTTGCTAAGCAGGTGCTCTTACCAACTGAGCCACTCCACCAGCGTAATGGGAGGGAGAGTAAATGAAGAAAGCAAGGAAGGTGAATATGATTGAGGTACTTTCTATACATGTATGAATATGGAACATTCAAACCTGTTGAAATCAGCATAACAAGAGGACTAAGGTAGAAAGGAGAATAATGGAGGGGATGAACCAATTTGGGTTATGATACACATACATACATGGAAATGTCACAATGAAACCCCCGGTATAGCCATCATAAACAAACAAAATGTCTTTAAAAAAAAAGATGGGGCGAATATGACAGATGTATTTTGTATTCATGTATGAAAATGGAACAATGAGACCTGTTGAAATTGTTCTAAAAAGGCAAAAGGCAGGGAGGTGGGATAAAGAGAAAGATGGAGGGAGTGAATTTGACTAAGATACATTATAAGCACTTTTGTAAATGTTACAATGTACCCCCAGTACAACGATAATATGCTAACAAATAAATAAAGAAAAAAATGAAAAAACCTTCTGCTGTGAAAACATTCCCAATCATTGCTATCTCTCTTCATTCTGGAGTTTGACCTGGCTCAGCTAAGTGATTCTGCCCTAGGGACATGTCATATGCTGGCTGGGGCCGGCTCAATGGCTTCCTCAGTCACTTGTTTGCGCTTGGTGCTGGTCACTGGCTGGTAACTCAGCTGGAGATGCTGGTGGAACACCAATTCCTATCTTTTCCTTGTGGCTGCTTAGGCTTTTCACGCCTGTAATCCTAGCTACTCAGGAGGCAGAGATCAGGAGGATCGTGGTTTGAAGCCAGCCCAGGCAAATAGTCTACGAGACCCTATCTTGAAAAAAAAAAAAAAACATCACAAGAAAGGGCTGGTGCAGTGGCTCAAGGTGTAGGCCCTGAGTTCAAACCCCAGTACCTCAAAAAGTAAAAAAAAAGTGTGATGACTGGGTGTGAGGAACAAGCATCCCGTGATGCTTGTTCTGAAACTCTAGTTTCAGAAGCCACACAATGTACCTAGCATGGTGGCATACGCCAGTAATCCCAGCATTTGGGAGGTGGAAGCCAGAGGATAATGAGTTCAAGTCCAGTGTGGGCTACATAGTGAGTTCAAGGCCAGTCTGAGCAACATAGCAAGACCCTGTCTCAAAACAAAAACAAACAAACAAAACAAAAACCCGTGATGTTACTTCTACTGCCTTCTATTGACCAGAAGCAAATCTAGTCAATTTTTCTTTTCTTCCTTTTTTTTTTTTTTCTGGTGGGACCACGGTTTGAACTCAGGGCTTTGTGCTTGCAAAATAGGCACTCTACCACTAGAGTCATGCCTCCAGTCCATTTTGGAGATAGGTGTCTGAGGAAGTATTTGCCCCCACTGCCTCAAACCAAGATCCTCCCAATCTCAGCCTCCTAAGTAGCTGGGATTACAAATGTGAGTCGCCAGCAAGCACCCGGATCAGTCGAAGTCCTGGGATCAAGTAATCCTCCTGCCTTAGCCTCCCAAGTAGCTGGAGAGAGAGCCACCTTGCTGCTAAATCCAGTCCTTTTTTTTTTTTTAATTTGGTACTGGGGTTTGAACTCGGTACCTATACCTTGAGCCACTCCACCAGTGTGTGTGTGTGTGTGTGTGTGTGTGTGATGGGTTTTTTCAAGATAGGGTCTCTTGAACTTTTTGCCTGGGGTTGGCTTTGAACCACAATCCTCCTGATCTCCTGACTAGCTAGGATTATAGGCATGAGCCACTGGCTTCCAGCTTCAGCCCACTTTTAAGGTGAAAGGTATTAAGGCCTACCCCTCAAAGAGAGGAGTATCAAAGAACTTGCTATTTTGTAAATGGATCACACTGGGCCATTTACTAAGAGGGACACTAGAGTGTCCCTACATGGAGAGGATATGCATTTATGGATTGGACAGATGGGAAACATTAGGCCAGAAAAATACCAGAATATTCCAGTACAGGGTTTGAGATCTTGAGCTTGTTTCTGGTGTGGTGGCCAGGAGATTTCCATGGTGGTTGAAATGGACACAGAAGAAGACTTTGGGAGGCACCATCTGGAGGCCAGGGTGGAGGTCCACTCACAAGTTGTTGTCATTGTCACAGAGATGGTGCCTGCACCACCAGAAGGAGGTGAGAGTGGCCAGATTCAGGAGGATGAGGGCATAGCAGAAGTTTCTGCTGTCCCCATCTTGGGTCGGTAGCTGACTTCCTTGCAGCCCCTTCATCTAATGGAGAGCTATTTGTGGGTATTGCAGTTGATTTAGGCACAGGTTTGCAATGTGGTCTGTGAGGGAGGTCTGTTGGAAGAGGTTTCCATGGTCAATAAAAGGGACACATGAGAAAAGATGGGAAGTCTGGGGCTGTAGCAGCCATTCTGTGACAACAAGGCAGGCTGGGAAGGGCAAGACCAGTCACAGAGGTGGTAGTTCCATCACTGAGCCTCCCAAAATAACAAACTCTGGGCACTGTATACTGGGACTCTTGTGACAGGGATGAGCCTGCTAATTCCATCACATGAAGTCTAAAACATCCTCATTGGTACCAGAGTGCAGTGAGCAAAGGAGCCTGAAGGAGAGGGAAGTCTGATGTGAAAGGGGAAGGATGGAAAATTGTGCTACCCTTCTGTGGCAGCTAACTTTCCTGGGGACCCCACCCCCGAATACCCAAAGGACTGCTAGACATCTCACAACTAGTCATAAGAATAACTCTTAACAGTTGGTCACTATTATGCCAGTTTATAGATTGGGAAACTCAAGCACAGAGAGGTAAAGGAACCTACAGAAGGTCACACAGTCAGGAAGTGAAACCGAAAACAAGTTAGGCAGTCTGTTGCTCTGTCCTGTGTGCTATACTTTATTTTTTCAGGGGTCAAGAGGAGAGGATCTTAAGCTAAAGTGCCAGCTGTCTAATACTGCTTAGTTGAGGGTCCCAAGGCAGGTCACCAAGGGCAGAATGAACAGGGACTGAGGCAGCTCTTGTAGTTTGTGACTGTGAGGAGGCCTTTGACGTGCTGGGGAGTGAGGGGCAGGGGTTTTGGGCAGGTGAACTTGCTGGAACAGAGGGGAAAAGAGGAGAGTCCTTGGAAAACCTTCCTGATCCAAGAGAGAAGACAGAGAATTGGGGGCACAGGACAGGTGCAACTTCCCACCGGGAAATGGGAATTTCCTCCATGACTGAGACCCAAGATCAAAGTGGCTGAGAAGTTTGAGTTCAACTGTGTGATGTGAACACAGGGCTGTCCAGGGTTTGGGGCTGCATTTGAGGTTGGGGACCAGGAACTTGGAGGCCAAGAGCCTGGATGAGGAGCCCTAAAGTGGAAGAGGGAAGCCAGAGGCAGGGTGTTGGGGGAGCCGCCCGACCAAGGAGTTGCCAGGATAGGGCGACTGTCTCACGGGAAAAGGAGATCGCCAGGCCCCGTGGATGACCGGGAGGCGGCCATCCGCCCCTTTCTCGTGGGGTCGCCCTGGACGCCGGGGGGTGGTGGTGGGGGGCGCAGGGCTCCCTCCCCGCAGCCAGCCCCCGCGCGCCCAGGCGGAGCCGGCTCTCCCGCCGCCGCAGTCGGGGATTAGCAGCTCGGGGCCGGGCGGCGGGATTAGCCCGCGTGGACTCAGCGCCCGGCCCGGGGATTACCGCGCGCTCCCCCCGACGTATATATTCCCGCGGTGGCCGCCGCCGCGTCGGGCGGGCATGGCGGCTGCGGGGGGCGCGGCGAGCCGCAGGGGTCCCGGGCGGCCCTGTCCGTTCTCCATCGAGCACATCCTCTCCAGCCTGCCCGATCGGAGCCCCCCAGCTCGGGTCACCCGGCCACCGCAGCCCGCCAGCCGCCAGAGCCCCGCCGAGCCCGGGGAGCCCGGGACGCCCGAGGCTGTGCCGTGCGCCTGCTGTTGCTGCTGCAGCCCCCGCGCAGCGCCGCGCAGGTCCCCGGAGGCGGCCGCCGGGCTGGGTAAGTGAGCGGGCACGGGGTGTGGGGCGGGCGCGGGGCCGATCGGGAGACCCCCACCCCCCAACCCCGTACCCCGGACGCGGCGCAGTGGGTGGAGTGGCTCAGCTCCTGCGCTGCACTTTACCGCGCGCGCCCTCGCCCCGCAGGCGCGCGTTTGCCGTGGCCGCTGAGGCTGGGGCCCGCGGCGCCCTTGCCCTTGGCGGCGCCGTCCGGAGGTTCCGTGGCGCTGCCCGGCGCAAGCGGTCCCGGCCCGCAGCGGCGCACGCGGCGTCACCGCACCATCTTCAGCGAAGAGCAGCTGCAGGCGCTCGAGGCGCTCTTCGTGCAGAACCAGTACCCCGACGTGGGCACGCGGGAGCGCCTGGCCGGCCGCATCCGCCTGCGCGAGGAACGCGTGGAGGTGGGTGGCCGCGCGGCGACAGAGGCCTCGCCTTGGGGGCTGGCGTCCTTCTTTTTCCAAGACCGTCTGGCCCTAGGACTTCCCTGGTGCGGTGGGACCCAGCACCGTGGAGGGAGAAGACTCCGCGGGGATGGCGCGATGGGGCGCAGGGCCAAGTCCCTGGGCGGAGAGCGGGCGGTTCCCGGCGCGTGCGGAAAGGCATCGCTGAAACTGCGGGGGAGGAAAGGCTACTTTTCTTTGCTTTTATTTAAAATCTCCCTCTCTCCTTTCCCCCCCCCCGATGATAAAAGAGATATTTGTTCATGTTCCGCGTTTTGGGACGTTAAGAAATGTCCCAAACTGCAGAAAACTGCAGAGGGGGCGCCCTGGTTTGCCGGTGGGTGAAGGCTGGGGAGGGTGGGAAACGGATTCCTATCCCGCATCGGGAACCATCGTCCCTATTTGCAGCGGATAAGGGAAGGAGGTGCGCCATCCCTTGTCCTCCCTCCCCCCGCCCCAGCACCTATCAATCCCTCGGGAATTGGGGGGGGGGCTAGTCTGAGCAATCCTCCCTCTCCTTCTTCTCCACCTCCTCTCCCTCCTCCTCCCCATCCCCCTCAGGTCTGGTTTAAGAACCGCCGGGCCAAGTGGCGACACCAGAAGCGCGCGTCAATGTCTTCAAGGCTACTGCCCAGCGCCAAGAAACCTCCCAAAGAGAGCTACTGATAATGCTGAGAGCCACTGGTGGCCTTGGCTGTGATCTTTGGGTCCCACACAGAACGAGGGCACACCTACTTGAACAGGAGCTAACAGAGGACAGCAACCTCCTCCAGCAGACTCCACAACTGCCTGCTGCAGGAGCTAGTGCTGGGGGGATGGGTATGCGAGTGCGGCAGTGACAACTGCACCCTGAAGGGAGGGCACATCAAGCACCTGGGGGCCCTGTCCTCTCAGATGACAGGAAGCAGGGAAATTCCCTTTCAGGTGGAGTGGGCCATAGAGCAGGTCAACTTCTTCAACCCCCACCCCTTGCCCAGGGAGGTACTAACTCCACCCAAGGGCAGGTGCCACCAATTGGCAACATGGGGGTCCAGGACCTTTCCCAGTGGCCTCTACCTCAGAGCATGCTGGCCTCCTCCTTCTCATATGTACATGCGCCCTTCCCCTCCAACCCTCCTGGTGGCAGTGTCCCCACCGTTCTGGGCTTGCTGTCTCCTTATAGTCCTGTGCTGGGCAGAGTGTCTAGATCTGCAGAATAAAAAAGTTGAAGAAGCTCCTCACCTGCTCCTTAATCTTTGAGCCTTGTACTGATAACCAAGAAATACACAAGAACCGCAAATGGCACAAAAGCAGTTCACAGCACCATATCCATTTCCACACTCAGCTGCCCCTCCTTCCTGGGGAGTGTGGGGGTGGGGCTGGGGGCATCCTTGGGAGCACAGACCAGTGAGTCCTCAATCCCAGTGCCAGGTGCCTCCCCTCACCCGTCCCCCCGACCCAGCATAGTAGAATCCTATGGAAGGTGGTAAGTTCATCCCTCATGGATACGGGTTTCTTGCTTCCTCCCTTTGGGGATTTCCATTCAGTGGGGTTTGTCTGTCTCTCTTATAGCAGTCAACCTCTGCCATCTTAGGATGGTACAAGACCAGGTTGTATTGAGCGGTCCCACACCCACTGCCTCGGAAAATGTTTGCCCTTCCCTCTATCATCCTAGCCTCCCCTGCCCCTGCCCACTGCCTACTACCCCTAACAACCCCTCATCTGGCTTGAACACCCTGTTCTATCTCTTCTCAGGTCCTAGACAGCATGGGATGGTATCTGCAGGAGACACAGTCCATCCAAAAAGCCAGACTACAGGACTCAGCGGGCGATGTAGCACTGGCGTTAAGGCTGGCTGCTTCAGATAAAACCAAGCGGGCCTGTATCCCCAGCCAGATCTGCCTCAACACTGTGGGTGCCTCAAGGACAGGTGCTCTCACCGCCACTGCCTGGGACTCACACTTCCTGCTCTTCTTCCTGAATTCTGGCCTTGCCTTTGAAGACTGAGCTGTCTAGCTGTGAACATTAACTATGTCCTGGTCAGATTCCTGCAGGCTGGGACAGTCCCATCTTGCTGACTTCCAGGCCCCTTTGTCCTCGTTGACTGAATGGCCATTTGTCCTCCTGTAGGGCAACCACGGTCAGAGTTTGTCTGAGCTCCACCTTCCAGGCTGGGCTGCTGTCCTGAGTTGTCCCCCTCGCTAGCTGCTCCTTGGCAGGCTGAACCATTCTCCATTAACATAGGCATCGGCTCACCTGAAGGCTTCATTCTCTCTGGAGTTTAATTTTTCCATCCTCAGTTCTAATTCTCATCGCTCTGCCACATTTACATCTCCATCTTCAGCCCAGACTCCTCTTCTGAGCTAGATATTTATGTCAGACTGTCTCCTAACGACCTATAAACTCCTCAAGGTCACCTTGTCCACAATGAGCTCTTCCTCTGTACAAGCCAAGTGCATGAACCAAAGAGCTAGAGATCACCCAACCATTCCCTGTCTCCACCCATCATAACCAGTCCATCAGCAAGTCAACTTTATCTCTAAACAAACACATGATAAATTCCAGAATCTACCTTCTCTCCAGCTCCAACTGCACCAGCCTGATGTAAACTGCCATCACCTTTCACCTGACCATTGCAGCTGTCTCCAACTCCGCCCACCTGTACCCACTCTGGTTCCCTTTTAATTCAGAATAAAAATAAAATTCACAGGCACTCATGAGACCCTGTACAGCCTGGCTTTGCCTTTCTGACGTCATCTCATACATTCATCTCGTGACCTCTGTGTCTATCCAAAGGTCAGCTTTGGAACTTGCCTTGCTCCCTCCCGCCACTGGGCCTTTGTACAATATGCTCTTTCTTTTCCATCCAACCAATAACATTCATCTTTTAGATCTGTAATCGCTTTCTGCCTGGGGAAATGTCTTCCCCACTAGGTCAAGAGTCTTCAAGTGCAAACTCCTGTTGCAAGTCACAGCTGCAATTTTACACTTGTCTGTGGGATGATCTAACTGTTGTCTGTCTTCCCCAGTGGACTGTCAGCTTATTGTCCTAACTGTAGAGTTCCCAATGAATGCCAATAAATGAAGGGATGACTGCATATCTGAAAGTAAAATTTTATCATCATTATGAGGGCAGAGATGGTTTATTTGACATAATTCATAATCTCCCTTTGGGAAGAAATTCCTGAAAAATACTTAGTTTTCTGTTCCATTTGAGTGAGAATTTTCCTCTTCTGGGAAGCCCACTCTGGATTTAGGGATTAATCTTTCTTTCCTTTTTTTTTTTTTTTTTTTTATAGTGAGGTTTGAACTCTGAGTAACTCCTCCGGCCCTACTTTTTTCTGTAAAGGGTTTTTGAAGACAGGGTCTTGCGGAACTATTTGCCTGGGCTGGCTTGGAGCCACAAACCTCTTGATCGCTGCCTCCTGAGTAGCTAGGATTACAGGCGTGAGCCACCAGCGCCAGCTAGAAATTTCCTTATTGAACTATTGTTTTGTTCGTTTCATTGATGTTTTGCTAGGTAACTCTAGAAAAAATTGTCAGAGTGTTCTTGCATAAAGTTTGGAACTCGTATATAACTAAGTTTTCTGAATAGTGTTTTCGTTAGTAATATTGAAGCATATGCAGTGATTATTTGCGAGAAATTGGAATCCCAACATCTTTTGGTTTTCCCTAGTGCTGAAAATTCTAACTGTAGCGTGAACGACACGTCGAATAGCCCCTCACAACAGCGCCCCATAGAGTCTACAGCCCAAACATGAATACCGCTGGATTGGGGTGGTGGGTGGGGGAAGAATACAACTCCCATAAGACCCAGCGCTCATAGTGACGTTATACTGTGCGCCGGCTGGCGTTAGAAAAGTGCTGCTTCCCCATTGGTTAGTTGTTGGAGGCGCCTGCGCAAATGGTGAAGTTCCCACCCTCCCCTCCCCGCCCCTCCCAACTCTGTGTCGCGCCTGCGCCGCCCTAGCGGTTCTGGGATAGCGATGGAGACGCCCGGCTCATCCGCCCGGTCCTTGTTGCCGGCTGCGTCCGGGCCCCCGAGGAAGCGCGCGGCTGGGGAGGCTGGGACTGCGACGAGAAAGCAGCGGGTCCTGGATGAGGAAGAGTATATCGAGGTACGACCTCAGTGCGAATGCCAACGACTTCCGGGTCCCTCGGTCTTTTCGTACTCCTCTCCGGTCCCGGCGCTTTCGGACGGCAGTGTAACAACGGATTCCCTGCACTTGGGATGTGGAAAGTCCTGAGAGCCAAGTAAACATTGCAGAGGGAGGTGTCCTTAATTGGGGAAGCATAGTAGTGTTTTCAGGGGGAAGGGGGGAGGCTCTGTTGAATAAGGTGAGGGTCAGGAAAAAAAGTTTTCTATTAAATTACGAGTAGAAATTTGACATGCTTGAAGGATGCTGGCAAAGATGACTTTCAGGAAGGCGGTGACAGCAAGTATGAAGGCTGGGGGGGGGGTCCTGGAAATATGCTGTGGTGGCAGCATCACTGAGAGAGTGCTTTGGATGCCCCTCGACGTAGGATTTGGTCCTACCGCAAACACGCGGGAGAAGCAGCTCACGCACGGCTTGGAGGAAGCCGGCCTGGTTTTAGACTGGATAAATTTGGGTCGTTTCTGGAATAAACCGAGGATGGCATTAGTAGACAGCTGGTGTACGGTTTTGCAGCTCCAAAGCAAGGTCTGGCTGGAGGTGCAGACTTGGGAATTTCATCAGGTGGTGGTGGCAGTGGTGACTGGCTGAAGTCACTCAAGAGAAAGATTTAGATTGGAAATAAAAGCTCAGGAGTGGAATGAGGTGGCAACAACTGCATTGGTCTGGCTGGTGTGGTGGGTGGAGCCAGCAGAGAACGAGCCAGTTAGTAAGGGGGAGAGAGAAGGGATTCCTGGGCATCAGGAAAGTATTTAGCAGTTAGATGTAGCAGCAAGGCCACGTGGGATGTTCAGCCTCACTAGAAAGTGCCCCTCAACTTCCTCACATGAGCCCCAATAAGGAGAAGCTGAAGAAGGTGCAGTAAGGGCTTTAGCTTGCACAGTGGACTGTGAGGCGGGCCACCCAGATGGCAGCTCTGACATTTGCTTTGATTTCTCCTGATAGGGCCTCCAGATGGTCATACAGAGGGACTTCTTCCCTGATGTGGAAAAGCTACAAGCACAGAAGGAGTACCTGGAAGCTGAGGAGAATGGCGACTTGGAACGGATGCGCCAGATCGCCATCAAGTTTGGCTCTGCCCTGGGCAAGATGTCCCGAGAGCCCCCACCACCCTGTAAGAGGATCTTGGTAGCAGAGAGGGGAACATCCACTGAGTGTCACCATAGGTTCACTCTAATTTTCAACCTTCTTCCGCCAGATGTAACCCCAGCCACATTTGAAACTCCTGAGGTGCACACAGGCTCTGGAGTGGTGGGCAACAAACCTAGACCCCAGGGCCGAGGCATGGAGGATGGTGAGTCACAGCTCAATCTTCTGGTCACATGGTCAAGATTGTATTCTGAAAGTGGTGAAGGAGTGGCCCAGAGGCTGCAGGTCACATCTTCTCCCTGAGCAGTCTCCTTGCCTAAATAGTAACCCATGGGATCAAAGAGCACTGGTCTAGGAAGCAGAAGATCTGGATTTAGCTCTCAACTGTGGAGCAGTCCTCTGGGCCTTTGGCCCATCTCTGTGGAATAAGAGTGTTTTCATCTGTCTGACCAGCCTGCTCACTATGTCAGCCCTTGCCCTGTGGGCTTTATGGGTTCCTTTTATTGCTGTCTGCTGAAGATGCCTCAGGGCCTTTGTGTTTTGTGCTTGTTTCTTTCCATATTGGTCACATCCCCCAGACAGCTGTGTAGCTCGCTCCTCTCTTCCTTTAGGTCTCTGCCCTGATGTTCCTGACCTTCCATTTAAAGTCACAATGCGTATGGTGCTCTGTGTTTTCTAGCCTGGTTTTGTTGGTTGTTGTTGTTGTTTGTTTTTTTTTTTTTGGTTTTTTTTTTTTGGCCGTACTGGGATTTGAACTCAGTGCCTCACATTTGCTAGACAGTCTGCCAGACCTGGCTTCTTTTTTTTTTCAGTTGGGGTCTTACTATATAGCCCAGACTGCTGGCTTGTTTTTTCATTGTAGGACATAACATTTAAAAAAAAATTCTGTTTATTGCCTCTCATCCTAATTAGCATCCTCTCCAGAAGAGCAAGGACTTTGTCTTGCTTTCACCTGTATGTCTATATCCAGAACAGCATGTAGTATGTTGTAGACCTTCAATAGCTGTATGTAGAACAGATGCATGAGTTGTCTTCACACACTTACTGTGGGTTGAGACGTGCGTGTATAAGATACATCCCATCTTTAGAGATTCTCTTTAGAGAATCTCTTTAGGAAAGGACATCTTGTGTCCTCTTGACTATAAGTGTGCCATGTGCTATGGGACATCATTAGGATCAGTTGATCTTTGGTCAGTAGGAAAGTATTGGTGCACCTACAGGTGAACAAGATGTGTATACTATATAGAAGGTATATATGTATTATGTATATATAGAGATATAGAGATGTATATAATCTGATACTGGGGTTTGAACTTGGGGCCTTACACTTGCTAAGTAGTGTTCTACCACTTCAGCCATGCCACCAATCCATTTTTTTTTTTTTGGTGGGAGTGGAGTTTGAACTCTGGGCTTCGAGCTTGCAGAGCAGGCACTGTACTCCTTGAGCCACACTTCCAGTTTATTTTATTCTGGCTATTTTGAAGATGGGGTCTAATGAAGTATTTGCTTGGGCTGGCCTTGAACTACAGTCCTCCTGATTTCAGTCTCCCAAATAGCTAGAACAGCAGGCCCAAGATTATTTATTGATTTATTTTTGTGGTTCAAAACTGGGGCTTGAACTCGGCCTTCACCTTGAGCCACTCCACTTCTCTTTTGAGAAGGGTTTTTTTGAGATAGGGTCTCATGAACTATTTGCCTGGGCTGGCTTTGAATCTCAGTCTTCCTGATCTCTGCCTCCTGAGTAGCTGGGATTACAGGTGTGAGCCACCGGCACCCGGCTTTTTTAAAACCAGATTCTAGTTTACAGTACACTATGCTAGCACAAAAGTGCAGTGTGCTCACACAAACATGTTTCTGCATCACAACCCAGATTTTTCTGCTATTAACACAGTTCTTGTTGTTATTAGAGCTTGGTTCTCAGTTGAAATGCAGCATGCAAGCGATAGGGCTGTTTGAAGATTCTTTTCTTTCTATACATATATACCTTTTATGTCAGTAAATCTGCAAATCCTTTCGGTAATCTAAGTGGCAGATACCATGATTTCATGTTTACAGCTGAGGAAACAGGCTCCTAAAGGGAATGATTGCTGTAGGTCTCAGAAATGGTCAGTAGTGGAACGGGGCTTGAGTTCTCCCCTTTCCAACCTCAAGTCTCAAACTTGCCGCCACTGTACTTTGCACAGTCTAGCATGTAGTTGATGGTCAAGAATATCGGTAGAATGAAAGAGAAAGCTCTTCTGAAATGTATAGCGCATCTCTATAGGAATGCCACTTTCCATCGTGGCTGAGGTGGTGACTGGGGTTGTGACCCAGAACCTGTGAGACCCTACCTGGAACACTGAGCTATATGGGTCCTGCCTTAGGGGCTAGTTGGCAAGTCTGGATGCTTAGGTGACCACTATACACCTGTAGTACAAGTACCAGGAAGGGAAGAGCAATAAGGGTAAGGAAATCCCAGGGAGGGAGGGAGAGTTCTCAGGGTTTTTAGGTGGATCCTATAGGATTAGCTCAATTTGGCAGAGGAAGAGCTTGTCAAACTTTTGTCATCACAAACACTTTAATGCTTCTCCCAATCCTAATTAATCAGATTGAATGCTTGTCTTGGCATCCAGCAGATGAGCAGAACTGCCCAGGCAGGTGCAGGATGCTACCTGAGACCGACCTGGGCAGCTGGGGTGGGTCAGTTTCACCCCATGGGATGTCATCTAGCAAGGGTGAGGATTCTAACCCTGCTTATAGGGTGGTGTGAGTCTCAGGGCTGGATGCACTGGTCTCCCCTGACTGCAAAGTGTTTATGTTGTATGTGGTACTGCGTTCCCCCATCTACAACCCCTGAGCAGGAGAGGTTGGAGAGGAGGAGGAGAAGGAGCCGCTTCCTAGCCTGGATGTCTTCCTCAGCCGTTACACAAGTGAGGACAACGCCTCTTTCCAAGAGATCATGGAAGTAGCCAAAGAGAAGAGCCGGGCCCGCCATGCCTGGCTTTATCAGGCTGAGGAGGAGTTTGAGAAGGTAGCCCTAGATTTTTGGGACATAGGCATCCTCCGTTTGGGTGGGGGAGTCCCATGGTCCCCAATACAATGCCTGGGGGCCCCCAGACCTTCATGTTTCCCCATGTGATTATAGAGGCAGAAAGATAATCTTGAACTACCATCAGCAGAGCGCCAAGCTATTGAGAGCAGCCAGGCTGGCGTGGAGGCCTGGAAGTACAAGGCCAAGAATTCCCTCATGTACTACCCAGATGGTGAGTGGGTGGGGCTGGATGGCAGGTCAGGGAGGTGAGGGTTACAGCTTTGTGTGCCAGGCTCTGTGTTTGGGTCGCCTTCAGGTTGCTTCCTTACAGTATAGTCCTCAGAGGAGTTCTGGTCTCTCTCAGATGGGTGAGACTGTGATATCTATCAGTGGCACAGTGAGGCCTTCTCCAGCTTTATTCAGGCTGTGGAATGTGAGTTAGGCTAGGTAATGATGCTTCTGTTCATTTGGGCGTGACTTGCTGAGTGAAGCTCTTGCCCCACACAGACTGCTGAGGCTGAGCCAGGCCCTGCCCACCCCTCTGACACTTGCTGCTTCTGTCTCTGCCAGGTGTCCCTGATGAAGAGCAGCTGTTCAAGAAGCCCCGGCAGGTGGTACATAAGAACACCCGATTCCTCCGGGACCCCTTCAGCCAGGCCCTGAGCAGGTCCCAGCTCCAACAAGCAGCTGCCCTCAATGCCCAGGTGAGCTATCAGGGCCAGTGAGTGCACAAGGTCAGATGTGGCTGGGCTGATTGTGGGCAGGCATGGTAGACATCTTGGCTCTCCTCATTAAGTTAGGACTTCTTGGGCTTGGTGGAGCTCAACAGGCAGAGAAATACTGGGGCCCCTGTGTGGCAGGGCCCAGTGTCTCTTCTCAGCCTGTACAGACTTCCACTGGCACACTGTCTTGGTCAGACACATTCTATGAGCCTAGATCCATGCTAGCTTCCTTGATGGCTTCTGGAAGCCAGCCCGGTCTGCCACGCCCACACCCCAACACCAGGCAGAACTGTGGGTAGACATGGGCTGGGCAGGCAGGGGAGAGCAAGTGCTAGAAGGGAGCCCGGCCCTAGAGGAGGATAAGTCGTGGTGGGACATTTTGCAGTGGCAGAGGAAGTCCCAGTCAGGAACAAAGATGAGTGAGTGCTCTCTGATGGTGACTGGTTGGTGGTCATGGTTTCAGGGTGGGGAGCAAGTGATGGGGAGACTTAAGGTGCTTGGGGGGAAGAGGCAGCACAGCCCCATCCATTGTCAGTATTGTACTCTGAGAGACTGAGGATGTCAGAGCTGCTGTGGATGGGGAGGGGCTTGCTTGGATCTTGGATGCCCACTCTGACAGGCCTTCAAGGACAGTGGTCCTCTCTCTCTTCCTCACCGGGCTGCCCATATCAGAACCCCAGCTTTGCTCTGAGGAGGAGAGGTGTTTCCAGCCCCAACCAGCTGAGGAGAGCCCCCCTGATGATAGCTTTTCTGCTTGTTCCAGCACAAACAGGGCAAGGTGGGCCCTGACGGCAAGGAGCTCATCCCTCAGGAGTCCCCTCGAGTGGGCGGATTTGGATTTGTTGCCACCCCTTCTCCTGCCCCTGGTGAGAAATGGGCCAGATACACAGACTGGTTAGGGCTGTGGGTGGGCTCAGCAGACCTGACCTGAGATGTCCCATGGTGCCATTTCCTGTTCTGGTCCTGCCTGTGATGTCAGCAGGCAGGGTGCTGTGTGTGCAGTGTCTACATATCAAAATGCAGAGAGGACTGCAGGGAGGGAGGGCTCTGGACACCAAGCCTGCAACTTCCTCACTAGGGAGGCGGGGGAGACTGTGGGGATCCCTTGTTGTACTAGGGTGTCCTTTGCCATCCCACATGCTGGCCTCTGTGTATTCAGTGCTGGTTGCTGTGATGTGGGCTGTGACTTGTGCAGGCAACTCAGGTTTGCCCTGAGTTCTAGAAGGTTTGGGGGCCCTGGAAGTCCAGAGCATCTCCTCCCTTGATAGTAGGGGAGGAAGTTTCTGAGGGCTTCCCTGGCCCTGTGTTAGGATGGGGCCCATCTGACCCAGCTTCCTCAGGTTCAGCACCTCTGTCCTGTTATGGGGCCATAGTGACCTTGGCATTTCCCTCTCAGAAGATGGGAGTCCCAGGGTTCTAGAGTCCTGGGGAAGGAGAGAGGCTAGCTGTTGGCTTTGATGTTATCTGGGGCAGCACTGGGATTCACTGGCCTGAGATGACTGTGGACTCTCCATCTGTAGGTGTGAATGAGTCTCCGCTGATGACCTGGGGGGAGGTTGAGAACACACCACTGAGAATTGAAGGGTCAGAGACGCCTTATGTGGACAGGACACCAGGACCATCTTTCAAGGTGGGTTATGGTGAGAGGGAGGCCGGGTTGGGACTCAGTGTGAATGCCTAGGAGTCCTGAGTCTCTGCTGCCCAAAATTGAGCACAGGCAACTGAACTCTGATCTGTCAGTGGTCAAAGTAGGACCGCCTGATGGGGCTGAACACTGGCGCTTCTGAATTCCAGGGCACTGAAGATAGAGATGGGTGGGACTTTCAAGGAGGGATTTGGGAGAGTGGAGGCCAAGGCACCAAGGCAGGGAGTGACCTGGAGGCCCAGGGGCTGTTCACAGAGGAGGCAAATTGATCAGAGAGCAGGAACTCCAACTGCAGTGTAAGTCTGAGAGCTATGGATATGGTTTGCATTCTCAGAAGGGTTGTATGCTGGCACAGCAAGACCTTTGGTTACAGAACACAATTAGAGACACCCTTGATTGTACTGCTGGATCCTGGCTTTGTAGGAGTGGGTGGAGTGGAGTACGCGAGAACTGCGGCAGGTCAGGAGGGCTCATCGTGGGCTGGGTCACATGCAGCTAGCAGAGGTGCATTGTGTGACCCCTGAGTGCCAGGTGGGGTAGAAAACTGAGGCTCAGGTGGCCCTGGATGGCACAGATGAGTGAGCAGGTGTGACCCTGGGAGTCATGGAGATGAGACACACTGGGCTACAGGGAGTTTGTTGGTGAGGCTGACTGACTTGATAAGAGTTTAGAGAGGGAAGGAGAGGTTGCTGAAACTTGGGGCATGTACATCCTGCTGTTGGGTTACTGGGTCCCACCTGTGCTGAATTGGTGTCAGGAGGTCACAGGAGGCAGAAGTTGGTATTATTACAGAGGTCAAGGGTGTAGATTACACCATCTTCTAAGCACGTGTTCTACCCCTGAACTATATACCCCCAGCTGCTAATTTATAAACTAAACTCTATTGTAGCTATATATAAGGAAAAACATAATGTACGTAGGGTTCGTTTGATGCCATCTGAGCTTTTGCGTATCCGGTGGGGGTCTTAGACCATATCCCCTGAAGGTAGGGTAGGAGCTAATGTATGTGAAAATGACAAACTTTAGTACATCAAAAAAGTCACAAAAGCTAGTTCCAGCCACTTGGGAGGCTGAGGCAGAAGGATCACTTGAACCCAGGAGTTGGAGACGAGCCTGGGCAACATAGTGAGACCACCTCATCTTAAAAAAAAAATGGCAGGGGGCTGGCACAGTGGCTTGTGCCTGTAATCCTAGTTACTTGGGAGGCAGAGATTGGGAGGATCAGGGTTTGATGCCAGTCTGGGAAAAACAGATGTGCTCCTGTCATCTCAGCCGTAAAGGAGGTGTAATGTAAGAGAATCGTCTAGGCCAGCCTGGGCAAGAAAACCTAGTCCCTGTCTGAAAAATAACAAGCAAAAAGAGCTAGGGGTGTGGCTCAAGTGGTAGAGGGCTTGCCTAGCAAGTTGAGATCCTGAGTTCAAACCTCAGTACTGCCAAAAAAAGAAACAAAAGCAAATAACTGGAAAAAAAAATTGTATAGCAAAACAAATTCTTTAGTTCTTTAGTACAGAAGAAAATGTCATAAAGCTTAATTGATAGGTAAAAGATCTTATAGGTAGCAAAACAAAGACCAAGGTAAGCACATTGATGGAAAAAGAGGCCTCATTCACATGGGGAGTTCTTAAAAGAAATACAGAAGGTTAATAAAGATGGTCATTTTAGTAACCAGAGGGAAACAAATGAAAACAAGGCTCACTTTTTCCCACCCTAAAACCTTGTAAGAGCATGCCTTGGCAGTCTTTGCCTTGAGAGCCTACTGGGGATAGGTGAAGAGGTCCAGGCCCTAGGTAGCTGTGCAGTTCTGGCACAGTGGGGGCTTTTGTTTTTGACCTAGGGTTTCTCTGTATAGCCCAGGCTGGCCTCCAGTTCATAGTCCTATGGTGTGCTATCGTGCCCTACCTTTCACTCTTTTTACTTTATACCCAAGGTCTACTGCTTACTAAGTAAGTACTCTACCATGTGAGCCATGTCCTAGTCCTTTTTGCTTTTAGTGTATTCAGATAAGGTCTTGTGCTTTTGCCCAGGGCGAGCCTCCTACCTCCACCTCTCAAGTATATGGGATTGCAAACATAGTGCCTAGTCCCTTTCACTTATTTTTTGAACCATAGGTTACTTTCAGTATTTTCCAGTTACAAATAAGGCTACAATGAACAACTTTGTGCTCACAGTGAGTTTTGTCTCTTATTCCTTTGAATTGTTTTGAGACAATTTCTCAGAAGTGAGATTCTGAGATATGAGCATTTATTTCATACATTGCCACAAGCAATTTGCTAAAGAATCAGTAAGTGAGGACCAATGGTACTGTGGATTAATTTTTGTTTTCTTGAAGACAGTGAAGTTTTAGCATTTTTCCAAATGCTTCTTGTCATGCTGCTTCTAGTTGAAGACCTACATTTTATGTCACTACAGAAGTGACATTGGTGGGAACACTGGGGAGGTGGCAGTGGGTTGCAGGAACATGGCAGCTAGAGGGAAGATACTGGGACCCACATCAGTTGCTCTTCCAAGTAAGGGACTGCCTGGCTTGGTAGTAGGTCCAGCACAGACCACCCAAATGCCTGCTGCTTTGCAGATCTTGGAACCAGGCCGCAGGGAGCGGCTAGGCCTGAAGATGGCCAATGAGGCTGCTGCCAAGAACCGGGCCAAGAAGCAAGAAGCCTTGCGGAGAGTGACGGAGAACCTGGCCAGGTGAGGGGGCCAAGGGCTCAGGCCCTTGGGCCAGGGTAGGGATAGGCTGGTGTCTCTGCCCTGCCCCTGCTCTGCCCACCTGCAATACCCAGGAAGGATCCACAGGGTTCTGCAGTGGGTTCTATAGCTGCTCCTCGCCTCCAGAGTCTGTGGCCGCATATGGACCAGACTGTGGGCCCCTCTCCATCTTCTTTGCTCCATATCTTCCTTGGCCCAACTTTAAGAAGCACCTTTAGGCCCTTTGTCCCACTCTGAGCTCCTGTCAGCCCTGTGAAGACAGTGTTATCATTCACTTTGGAGAGGGGTAGGAACTCCAACTCTCAGAGGTCTGGGATCCACCCAGCCCCACAACCAAAGGCAGCACTGCCACTAACCTCAGGTTTGGCCTGACTGTTGTGTGCCAGATTTCCTGTGTGTTCCTCTTCAGCTCAGAAAGACTGTGCCTCTTACGGGCTCTTCCTGAGGGGTTGAGGGAAGCCCTGTGTCAGGCAGCACTCCGTCCACCTAACCTCTCTCTTGCCCATCCTTCCACCCCAGCCTCACCCCCAAAGGCCTGAGCCCAGCTATGTCTCCAGCCCTACAGCGCCTCGTGAGCAGGACAACCAGCAAGTACACGGATCGTGCCCTGCGCGCCAGCTACACACCATCTCCAGCACGCTCCACCCACCTCAAGACCCCAGCCAGTGGGCCACAGACCCCCACGAGTACACCAGCCCCTGGCTCTGCCACACGCACACCCCTCACACAGGACCCAGCTTCCATCACGGACAACCTGCTGCAGCTGCCTGCCCGGCGCAAAGCCTCAGACTTCTTTTAGAGCCAAGCCCGGGCTGGGCCTGTGGACACTTGTGGAGACTGCTGGGCAGTTTTCTGGACACCCAGCAGAGGACTCAGCCCTGGGGACCCAGGCCCGGGCCAGAGGCGATTGCTCATCCCAGGAACCACAGATGAAAAGTGCCGTGCCATGCCATGCTGGCTCAGGACACACATCTCCTCCCCTTGGAGTGCAGCACCATGCTGTCCCCAGGGCCTTGCTGAAACTGTTTTCTATTTAATCCCCCAATCTAAACCATTATTAAAGAATAGGTGGCACAGTCAGGCCAGGCTGCCTGTCCATCCTTATCCCTGAACTGGCTCTGGTGCACCTGGGGGCCTACGTCAGTCCTAGGACTTCAAGGTTGGAGGCTGGCATTCTGTGGGGAAGCTCAGTGGCTCCCAGAACTGCCTTCTGAGCTCACACATGCCCTTTACCCTCCGCCCCCCAGGTCTTTCTGCTCCTCTGAGAAATCATGCTCAGGGTACCTGGGGCTCTGTGCCAGCCAGGCCTGGCCGGCTTGCTTTACTAGGCCCATGCATATCGTGCGTCTCAGGCCCCGTCATGAGTCACTTTCTTGGTGGCCTCAGCTGTAACCTCGCAGAGCAGCTTCCAGCTCTGGTGGGACTAAGCCGTCTACTCTGTCCTGCTTTTTGCTCTCCCCCTGCTCTTGACACTGCCCACTGGGCTCTGCTGAGACACCAGCCTCACCCCAGCCTGGGCCACAGTGTTAAAAAAGAGGCCAGGTTCTATGCAGACCACAAGTATCATGCATTGTGGTTCAGCATGTGCCTGTTGGCTGAGGGGGTACAGAGGATGTAGGTGCCTGGCCCTTAGGTGGCTGGCAGCCAGCTGAGCCCATGAGCCTGCTGCCTACAGAGTTGAAAGGCCTCTCTAGGCCCAGGTGGGTCCAAGACCATGGTGTAGCTCCCAAGTCAATGTCTTCAGGCATCACCAGGGGTCATAGGTGGTACCCTCTGGGGGCCTGGGAGCTTTTGATACTCAGAGACTCAGGGCACACTTGACTGCTCAGACCCAGGTACTGCTTTGAGCCCTGTGTGTGCTGTCTTCATTCAGTCTTCCTGCATTGGTTCTCTCCTTCTCTGAGCACTGATGTTCTCTGGAGGCTAGTCTGGGGCCAAACACCTGGCACCAGCCTAGGACCTCTGTTGATCTCTACAGTGAGTTCTGTGAACTCCTGGGGTGGCTGCCCTGGGACCTGCTGGGGCTGGAGCTTTGGATCCTTTTGCTTCACAGGGAAGGTTGAGTTTTAACCCAAGAGAGCCCCCACCACCACCAGGAAATGGGGTAGGGAGAGTAGGGGCACTTTTTGGTGCTGTCCACTTTAAGCATTTGGTCAGCAGGGGAGCATGCTTTGGGGAGGTATGGTAACAAGCAGGAAACATGAGAGATGGGACAGCATCATCACCAGGCTGCTGCCTGGGGCTTGCAGGTCTGCAGAGTGGGGAGGGTGCCAGCAATGGTCTCCGTGATGCTGCCTCTAGGGGATGATGTGGGGGGGGGGCGGTGAGCAGCTGAGGTCACCAATCTCAAATTACCCCTGGGGTTAGAGGAGGACATTGAGTAAGGAGCCATGTGAGGGAGCGAGACAGGGTCAGTGTGAGCTGCACTGCATATGGCGAGGGAGGAGTATGGAGCTGTTCAGCCCTGCAGGCCTTAGGGATGGGGGCAGGCCAGAGGCAGACAATGTGGTCTTGGCAGGTGGACTGCAGCAGAGGTCCTCTCCTTGCCACAGGGCTCACTCTTGAGTCTGTCTATGTCTGAGCACCTGTCCCTGGACCCCTAACACTGGAGACCCCTGCGCCGGTTGAGTCCTAGAGAAAAAGATTCCTCACTGGGCACTCGGGATGCTTGTATACACTTTGTGGTTTATTTGGTGGTCAGTAATTAACGTCTTTGCTACTAAGTGGAAGAAAGCTAATAGAACGTAATCAAAATAGTGGTTTAATTGACGAATTTTACTTGTTCCTTGCACCTGTGCCTTCTTCAGCTCCTACCTGCCTACTTCATGTCAGTGCAAACCGTATCACGTCCCCCCACCCAGGGCCCTCTCCACCACTAGGTGCTTGCTTTCCCCACCTCTGCTCCTGAGATGTGATGGTCTTTAGCTCTGGAGGTCTCGGCCAGCCTATCCTCCATTCTGTCCTCATTCTCAGGCACAACCAGCAGCCGGTGCTGGGTTTTGGCCCCCAGTTTGTGGTCAGGTCGGTGTTCAGGTCGGTGTTCAGGCCGGTGTTCAGGTCTTGAGCCTGACCGGGCATCTAGTTTGCACTCGGTCCGGTATTTGCCCTCCCCCTCCCTTTTGAAGGAACCAGAAGACATGACTTTGGGCTTGGGGGGCTGCAGCCACGAGTGGCTGAGGATCTCGTCAATGTGCAGCCGCCGGTTGACGTCCGGCTGCAGGATGCGGTAGATGAGGTCTTTGCACTCACCCGTCAGGTTCTTGGAGCGCGGAAAGTCCACACGGTGCTCCTTCTGGATGCGCAGCATCTTTTTGATGTCGGAATCATCATAGGGCATGGAGCCACAGACCATGATGTACAGGATCACGCCCAGGCTCCAGATGTCGTACACCTTGGGCTGGTAGGGGATGCCCTGCAGCACCTCGGGGGCTGCATAAGCCGCTGACCCACAGAAGGTCTTGCTGAGGACAATACGACCACTGCCATCCCTCAGGCAGTGCTTGGAGAAGCCGAAGTCGGACAGCTTGATGTTGAAGTCCTTGTCGAGGAGAAGGTTCTCGCATTTCAGGTCTCGGTGGACGACGTCCAGGTCATGGCAGTACTTGACAGCTGAGGAGAGCTGGCGGAACATCTTGCGTGCCACATCTTCGTGCAGGGCTCCCTGGCACTTGATGAATTCAAGGAGGTCACCCTGGACGCCCAGCTCCATGATGATGTAGATGCGCCCATCAGAAGTCTCAAAGATCTCATAGGTCTTGATGATGGAGCGGTGGTTGACAGTTGCCAAGATGTCCATCTCCCGAGGAAGGAATCTCTCCACAAAGTCAGTGGGTGTTTTCTTGCGGTCGATGATCTTGACTGCTACATTGAACTTTAGGCGCTCAGAGTAGGCAGATTTCACTTTTGCGTAGGAGCCCTTGCCTAGATTGATTCCCACGATGTAACCCTTCTTCCTTAGGACTGCAGCATCGTCCATGGTGCCTGGAGCGGCTGGTGCCGCTGCCGTCTACATCCCCTCCCCACAGGGGCCAGCAGGCATTGTCTTCATTTCCACTGTGGGGAGGCGTCTGGCTAAGCTGGGCCTGGACTTGGAGGGGTGGAATGCTCAGCATTGTCGCCAGGTGACTTCAGCGAATGAAGTCATAAAGCCAGGCTGCCAGGAGTGAGGACTGGGCTGGAGGGAATGAGGCCTCTGGAACCCTGGAAGCCAGGCTGGCCTGGAAGGAGTGCTCCCCTCCCTGCCCACTGGAATGAAGCTGGCACCCAGGCCTGGGATAGCCCACCTCTGCTCCTCTTTATTGTTGTGGCTTCCCCCTCACAAGTCAGGCCCAAGGGGAGGTGGCCCCATGCCTTTTCCCCCTCCCCTGGCATGGGAACTTACTTCACCAGGACCAATTTTTTATAGCTTCTTTGGGGTGTAGTGAGAACACCCTGTAGAGTGTATCCTTGGAACCAGTGGTGTCTGCCCCAGTCTAGCCAGGCCAGTGGTGGCTCCAAGCCCGGTGGAGTAAAGCAATTCTGCTTGGGATGATGCTAGCTCCTTGGGCTATTGAGCTGGACGGATGAGCTGCTGCTGCTGCTTCTGCTTCTGCTGTGGTGAGTGAAGGCGTGTGTGGGCGCGGGAGGGCAGGCAGTGCTCTGGGATGTGCTTGAGTGTCTAGCTAGATGACTGGCTAGATGGCTAGATGGCCAGAGCTACAGGCAGATGCATATTCTGAGAACCAGAACAGGCTTAGAGGATGGGTTGGGCTTCACCCATGTAGAAGAGGTGATAAGGTACCCAGACAGGAGAGGGCTTCTGAGTATGGCTGAGTGACACAAGTCAGGAAGAGGGAAGAGGAGAAAAAATTTGGGCTTATTTAAGTGATGGGCAATCACTGCACAGTCCAACTCCTGTTTTAAGGTGGTCACTGGCAGAAAAAAGATAATCGGCTCTGGGGTGAGTATTTAGGCCAGTGCCTTGGGCCAGGTCTGAGGAGGCTAGGGGGCAGGACTTTGTGGGTCAGAGAGAGCTGAAGAAAAGCCAGCCTAGATCTGTTCAGTGGGGGTGCAGCCAGTGGCAGGGGGATCTGGAGGTTGGCTGGTGGGGGCGGGGCGCTGGGAATTGGCAGCCCTCAGAGCATTGCCCATGAAGAGCAAGCTTTGAGTGTATGCGTGGGTCCACAATTCCATCATTTTGGATGTTTGTGAGCAGAGGGCAAGGGTTGCCTGGTGGAATCCTGGCATTGCTCATTATTTGCATCTCAGACTGTCTTTTGTACCCGGTGCATGACTATTTGCTTTGGAAACTGGCATCCCGTATGCATCTCCTTGGCCACTTCAGAAGCACTGACATCCAATCGTCATCCATCACAGGACCCTGTGCCCACAGGGAGCTGCCAGGACAGGTGAGCCAGGGCTGCTGTGTTCAGGAGAGCAAGGAAGACTGGTTTCTATAGGGTGTGTGCAGTGGCGGGGGTGGGGGCGGTTAGGGAGTGACAGAAGGTTTCAAAGAGGAAGTGATGTAGGAGCTTAGGTACGGAAGATCAGCAGGGCTCCACCAGGTGGACAAGAAGGACAGGATGTGCCAGGATGTGACCTCTTGGCTAAAAGTACAACTGTGTGGACACATCTGTAGGGAACACCTTGTGTGATGCCAGGCTGAGAGGATGGGAAGGGTGGGTTGATGCTTCCAAGATGACACCCTGCCAGCAGTGCTGAGTTCCACTGGCTCTGTAGCACAGTGGCTAGTAGCTCTAGCTTGATGCATTCCTTTTTCCTGGGTGTAGTTTTTGGCTGAAGAGACCATAACTTCACTCCTTTGTGTCCTAGAAGGGGTTGGCTGTAAAATTTACAGGTCAAGAGCCAGATCATGACACTTCTCTCTTACCCCACATCCCTTGTACCCCCAAGTTCTGTGTTTGTGGGGCAGCTCTCTGAATATGTGCCTTGTTGGCCAACTCCATCACCTCATTCTCTCTTTTTTTGTGGAATCTGTTCCCTCACTTCCTACTGTTGCCCAGGATCATGTGGTCTCTCTGGTTACTAGAAGACATGTCAGAGGAGGCAGCAGTTGGCTTGGCACAAGCAGAGCTGCTGGAACATGCAGCAGGCAGCTTCATCCAGGATGTGTATGAGGTGCTGGGGTACCTGGTGTATTCCAGGAAGAGGTCAGATCAGACTGGGGACCTCCAGGGTTACTGCAGTGTTGCAGTCCTATGGGTCAGGGATCTGCACACTGGGAAAGACTCCCCCACCCTGGGCTTCACTAGTGCACTGACCTATTTATCCTGCAGGTATTGAGGATCTGCTTTAGGTGTGGAGGAACACTGATGAACTAGAGACAGCCATACCTTCCTGGAGCCCAGAGGCCAGGGAACCTCAATGTCATACCAGCCTGTGTGAGTGCACCGTGGTGACTCTGCCATGACACAAGGTCAAGGAGCTATGAGGACAGAGAACTGGGAACTGTGCTTAGGGAGGCTGAGGATGGCTGAAGTCTGAGGAGTCAGGGAGGTGGGAGAAGGATGAGTATGGGTAATGCCCGCGATGGCCTAAGGGTCACTGTGTGGAGGGAACATGAACAGATGATGGGGGTCACCTTTAAGTCCTAGAGTCTCTGAGGGTCACTGAAGGTGATGGAGCCAGGGTTGAGCAACCCACAGTAGTAGTCCAACAGGGTGAGGCCATCTGTGGAGGAACCACAGATGGACCTGCTGCACCAGTGCTGTCCTTTCGCACGGTCACCAACCCTTTCTGAGTTGTTTCTCCATCTATAAAACACAGAGCAAGTATTCCTCCCGCAGCCCCTCCCACCCAGGCTACCTCCCTGGATGGGTTGCAAGTTGCCCCCAGGTCTTCTTGGTGTCTTCTATCCAGAGGACCACAGTAGGCCTACAGGGATGGAGGAGGGGGCACTCATGAGCTTCTCAACACCTCTGCACCCATGTGCCCCATGTACCCAGCGGTCCTGCTCCACTACTAGTTTCTTCAGGGGAAGAAACGGTGCCTCCAGTGTTCCTCGGGACCTCTTCTGTTCCTAGACCCTGGGTACTCAGGTCTCCTCAGCAGAATTCACAGGAACAGACTACAGAACACTGGCAGGGATCCCCAGAAGGCTTTGTGGAGGCCAAGGCCCCTTGGCTGAGCCTGGGGAGGTGGGGAATCTTTGGGGATGAGTCTACAAGTATGACTGTGGTATGTATGTGTGATGAGGGCATGGGGATGAGGAAGGACAATATGAAAAGGCCAGGTCTGGGAAGACCTCAGTGGCCAGGTCCTGGAATCCTTCCTGCAGACAGTGGGAGCCTATACTGGGTGTAGGAGGGGGGCTGTGGCCATTGTGGGAGGTGACAAGAGTAGGGGCCCTGGGTGGAGATAGACTGGATGTGGGGAAAGGTACAGGAAGGGCAGGTTCAGGATCTCATCATACTTCTTTTCTCAGGGGAATGGAGTTGGGATCTTCCCAAGGTGGAGATGCAGGAGGCAAGGTGAGTCTGAATACCCTTGTTTTTGTATGTTTTAAACCCTCAGGCCCCCATAAGGTGAAGAATGAGGTGAAGAGAAAGAGGCCAGCACAGCCAGGTGAGGACTGCTTGGGATGTGGTGCAGGCAGGGTATGCAGCCCTACATGGTAGCCAGTAGTGCCAAATGTAGGCCATGGATACTGGTGGCTGCCTTCCCTGTGCACAGGGTCCGGGCATGCTTTGTGAGGATGCCTATCCTAATTGCTGGTGTTAGCTTCCAAGCTTTGGTGGGATATCACCCCGGGGGATAGGCTGGGATTGGAAGTGAAAGGAGTGTGGTCACGGTCACAGAGGATTGGGGGACACGTTGGGCCATCCAGTGGAGTCCCTGGGCTGGTGAATGACCACAGGGTAGGGTAACTCAGGGCACTGTTGAGAACTGGGTGCTGGCTGGACATAGGGGAACATGACCCATGGTAGACAGTAGAAACATCAGTTGCCCAAAGGTTAAAGAGCGCAAGAGGACCTGCAAGGCTGGTCCACCTGCCTTCTGTAGTTTCCCCAACCCCTGCTGGCAGGCTTGTGCATCTGGGTGCCCTAAATGCAGACAGGGCCAGTTCTCCCAGAGTGATGTTGCCCTAAGTTTGTCCTCTCCTTCCATCTCCCCACCCCCACTCTGCACTCGTGCACTTTCTTCTGGATGCAACATCTTCCTTACTCAGCTCTTTGCCCTGGCCTCTGCCCTTCCAGGGTTTTCACCCTTATCCCAGCCTTTGGCTAGTGCAGCTGCCTCAGCCTGAGGTCACAGTATAGATTGGACACTCTGGGATGTGTTTTCCCATGAGTGATGATTCGCAATCCAAGTAGGAAACCAGGGGGAGTCCAGGACTACAGTCAATTGGGCAAAGACATTCACCTTGGGGTCTGCACTAATGTAGTGATTTATTGCTTCTTTAGCCATATGAGCTATCAAGTTCAAAGGGAGGGAGAAGAGACATGAAAATAGTAGCTCATCCAGTACTGGCTCGTCTCTTGACTTCTAAGCTCAGGCTTCAAGCCATGAGCTCTGTCTCATTCCTTACCGGCCCCATGGGCCGCAAGAGGCTCATTAGGTGTGTGTCTCTGGAGGCTGTTGGGGGGTCCCTGCCTCTGTCTCTTTGGTCAGCTGCTCGTTGCTGATGCTCACCGTCTCTGACTGCCTAGCCACTTGCACTGTGTCCTCCTTGGGTTTGGTCTTGGGCTGGGCCTCTTCCTGAGGCTCTACCTTGGTGGCAGATTTTTTTTCAGAGCCAGGTTCAGGGGTCCATGAGGGCTCAGTGGCCCGGGAGCTCTCCCCTTCCTTGTTGACGGCTGCAGAGGACAGACCCCATGCCTTGGGCTGCACCCAGCAATGACTGAGGATCTCGTCAATGTGCAACCGCCGGTTGACGTCCGGCTGTAGCATGCGGGAGATGAGGTCTTTGCACTCTCCCGTCAGGTGCTTGGAGCGTGGGAAGTTGAGGCGGTGCTCCTTCTGGATGCACAGCATCTTTTTGATGTTGGAGTCATCAAAGGGCATGGAGCCACAGACCATGATGTACAGGATCACGCCCAGGCTCCAGATGTCGTACACCTTGGGCTGGTAGGGGATGCCCTGCAGCACCTCGGGGGCTGCATAAGCCGCTGACCCACAGAAGGTCTTGCTTAATGTCAGGCGGCCGCTGTCATCTCTCAGGCATCGCTTGGAGAAGCCGAAGTCAGTCAGCTTGATGTTGAAATCTTTGTCGAGCAGAAGGTTCTCACACTTGAGGTCTCGGTGGACGACGTCCAGGTCATGGCAATACTTGATGGCTGAGGAGAGCTGGTGGAACTTCTTGCGAGCATCATCCTCTTTCAAGGCTCCTCGGGTTTTGATGAATTCTAGGAGGTCGCCCTGGACCCCAAGCTCCATGACGATGTAGACCTTGCCATCAGATGTCTCAAAGATCTCGTAGGTCTTGATGATGGAGCGGTGGTTTAGCATGGCCAGAATCTCAATTTCCCGGGGAAGGAATTTCTCCACAAAGTCCGTGGGGGCTTTCTTGCGGTCGATGATCTTGACTGCCACATTGAATTTTAGGCGCTCAGAGTAGGCAGATTTGACTTTTGCATATGAGCCCTCTCCTAAATTTATCCCCATGATGTAGCCTCGTCGTTTAAGGATGGCAGTGTCATCCATAGTGCAGGGAGCAACCAGTGCCTCTGAGGCTGCCTTCTACATCCCTGCAGGCCAGCAGCGTCCTCATTTACACTGTGGACAGAGAGTCCTCTGGGCTGGCTGGGCCTGCTGTCCCTGCCTCCTAAGAGGCCAAGACTCTAGGATGGAACATTCAGCACTGTCTCCCAGGTGACTTCAGTGGGTGAAGTCACAAGGAGGAGCGCCCTGGGGAAATGAGGCTCTGCCTTGAGCCACTTGGACTTAGAACCTTGGAAGGTCTGCCATTGGGCTGGAGCAGACTGAAGGCCTGCAGAGTGGCCTTGTGGCTGGGACCTGAGGTAGGAAGGGGTTATGGAGGACATGGAGTCTAACTATGTTCCTAAACCCATAGTCAGGGCTGCTTGTGGAGTGGTGAGGCTGATTGTTATAATCCAGGGGAACGTAGAGTGGGTGGTCCTATCAGTCAGGGCCCCAGCAGGAAACAAGACACATTGAATTTAGGATAATCTGAGGAATGATTTACAAAGGTGGGAGCAGAATGGAGAGAATCCCAAATGCAATGTCCTAAGGTTGACATAGACCCCTGGCCTGCATAAAAGAGGGAAAGAATGGAGAGAGAAGTATAGAGAGGGCAGTGACCCTGAGAGAGGCAGTGACCTTTGGTTGAGGTAAAGAGCCAGGCTTCCATGACTACATGAGCTATTATCAGAGGACATCCCTGACCTCTTTTCCTTCCTTTCAGCTCTTGATGCTGTCCACACAGGCAGCATGCAGACACAGAGCAAGGCCAAAAAGGGTAGAGGTGAATCAGGAAGGGCAAAGAGCCTTGATGTAACAGGTGCTATAATTTGGGAAACCAGGACTGTGCCCCTTTGCTGCATGGCTTGGCTAGCCTTTTCACCTCTCTGCACTTCTATTTCCTCATCTGAACCTTTGTTGGCATGCTGCTCTTACAGTGGCTCTGCAGGAGGGACAACTGGCAGGAATTGTGCTCTTGGCTGTGAGTTCCTCTCCTAGGGACCTGCCCAGCCCATGAACCTGGCTAGGCTCCCATGGCAGATCTAGGGCTGGAGGTGAGGGCTGGAAGACTGTATGCTGGGCCTGGATCCTGAGCTAAGCACTAGCAGCTGCTCCTGGCAGACTGCACAAGTGCCAAAGGAAGCATGGACAGACAGCTTTGTTTCTGCTGGCAGGGCCCCCCCCACACACACCCTGTTGTGACAGGACCCTTTGTCCAGCTCCTCTCTGGTCCAAGTCTTGGGAGAGTAGGAGGCCTTGAATGTCTGGCCTAACCTTGGGTTTGACCTTAGCCTTATCCACTTACAGGAAATAAGTGCCCCTCTCTCATATGACCCCATGCATTACAAGGATGGAATCCTGAAGACACTCAGGAGTGAGTCAGGAGAGATGGACGTGAGTGAGGTTGGGGTGGGTTCCCACTAGCTTTGGCCCTTTCCACCTTTTCTCTGTTTCTCATCTTCACCTTCTTCCCCAGCCCTGACCAGCCACTACCAGTCCTGTAAGCCACAGCTTGTGGTCCTTCCCCTGGACAGCTTGTTTTTCCTCTTTAGAGGACACTTCATCTGCTGTCTCTCCCACGTTCATGATGACAGGTTCAAGGTCAGCACTTGGAACTTCATGATGACAGGTTTGAGATCAGTACTTGTAACTTTTTCTCAGAGAGCTTAGCTCCATCTTTGCCCAGGCTGACCTCCATGCAGATGTGGCCTTTCCTTCCTTCTCCAGCATGTAGACAAGTCCTTCCTCCACGGAAGGCCAGCTGTGCTCCAGTCTCTAGGATCTGGGCTTCCTTGTTATCTCTCCTCTCTCTTAGGTCATTTCCTCAGCTGTTGACACATTTTCAATTTTGTGTGCCGGTAAATCCACACTTGTCTGTTCCTTACCAGGTTGTACATTCCTTCCCCATTCTCAGAGCCTCCCAGCCCTCCAGTTTTCTTCCTCTTCTACAGCAGTTCAGCCTTTTAAAAGATCACTTTAGGATGCATCGTTGAACACTGGACCAGACAGGTGTAAAGACCCTCCGAGTCCTAGGGTTCTACTTTGCCCTGTGAGTTCCCGACGACCGCGGCCCCACCCTGCCCCCAGGCTGCACCTCGTACAGTGTCCGTCCTTGTGGTCCTGTGCCCTTTGCCCCTCCCCCACTGCTCTTGCCCCGCCCTGAGACCCTACCTTGCCCCTAGGCTCCGCCCCTGAGCCCCACCCCTCTGCTTAGCCAATGGCACGCTTCACTCCTTATAGTCCCGCCCTCCTCTCAGGTCCACCCCTCAGTCGCCGCCCTCTGCCATCCCGCCCTTAGGCCTCGCCCCACGCTTAGCCGATGAGCCGCAAGCAGCTGGGTGCTCGCGGCTCCGCCCACCGCCTCCACGCTCATTGGCCGGCGCTGGAGTCGCGGGCGGGAGGCGGGGCGGTGCGGGCCCAGGCAGGACGGCAGCCATCTTGCGCGGAGCCGGAATCGGAGCCCCGAGTCTGTGGCCTAGAGCGCGCGCGAGCTCGCGACCTTGTCCTGCCGCGGGCGCGCGTCACGGCAGCCCCGCCGGACTCCTCGTTCTTCGCCTCTCCGTGCCTGGCCCCGGCTTGGCCCTCAGACCTCAGCCCGGCCCGGTCCGGCCTCTCCGCGGGGTCACGCGGCCGCCCCGGAGACGATGAACGGAGGATAAATGGTGCCCAAGGCAGACAGCGGTGCTTTCCTGCTGCTTTTCCTGCTCGTGCTCACCGTCACCGAGCCGCTGCGGCCAGGTGCGCGCCGCGGTGGGGAGGATGGGGGCGCGGTCGGGGGCGGGGCGGGTGGCCGGGGGTGGGGCTCGGGCTGCGAATCTGGCCGGGGTCCTGCCGGGACCTCCTTCCGCCCCCCACCCCATCCCCACCCCCTGACCTCCAGCGGGCGCTGCGGTGCCCCGGGGAAGGGGCAGGCGACGTCGGACGCGCGGACCGCCGGGCGCCCTGCACCTGGGTTCGTAGTGCTTCTCACCCTGCGCCGCTCCGTCCTCGAGGAAGTCGCTTCTGGGCCCAAGTCCACGAAGCACTGCGTGCTCTGAGAGCCACTGGCCAGGAGCTTTGCCGCGTCCTCCTGCTGGCCCGGCGTCGGGATCGAGTGGAGGGCTGGACGGGGGGGAGGCGGGGGCGGCTCGCGGAGGCACCTGGCTTCCCAGGCGTCCGCCCAGCTGTGGCCTCATGCCAACCTTTCAGCCTTGGACAGCGGTGACTGGGTGGTTTATTGTCACTAGATGAGGCGCTGCTCCAGAGACGCCCTCAGCCCAGAGCCCGGCCCAGAGGAGGTACTAGGAGTTCGTCAAGTACTGTGTGCAGAGGCAGAGACCACGCGGAGGTGCCAAACACTTAGTAGTGCTCCATTTACGTGACGTAATTAAATGCTTTTGGAACTCCCCTTGAAAGTTTTTGTGTCTGTGTCTCTGGTGGGGAACCAGAGGGCCGGTTTCTACCTAGTTTAGATAGCACTGAACTGCGCCAAGAAAACATAACAATCGGGCTGGAGGAGTGGCTCAAGTGGTAAAGCACCTGCTTTGCAAGCATGTAAGCCCTGAGTTCAAACCCCAGTCCCACAAAAAAAAGAAAACATTACAGTCCCCAAAAGCCAGCTTGGTTTTTCTGTTAGGCACGGGAGAACCAGTGCCACATGCACTGTACTTTCAGGGGCAGGCAGAACACTTTACAATAAGAAAAAAATGAAATTTAATATATTTACGTCAAACACAGCCATCTTTATGCCAGTATAGTGGAAAGTACAGTTCTTAATATTTTTTAACGAAGGAAGGTTCCCTTGAAGGCTGAAGTGCCCAAGGCCATCTTTTATGAGTGACAACAAGAGTGGGTGTGGGAGAACAAGAGGTGTGCACCCCTCTGTAGTGCGTAGCCAGGCTGTCACTCTAGACCCTCTGTCCCTTTTGGCTCTGTGCCTTTGTCATCTTTGTAGAATGTCTGCACTCCCCTCATGTCTACTTGATCGCCAAGGCCATGGGCCCACGCTCAACCTGAATAGACTCAGCTGGGCTCCCGGTGTGTAGCTAGTTACTACACCTGATTGCTTTCTGTCTAGTGGAGTGACTGGTGGTGAAGTGGCTTTGGTAGGAACATAAGCCAAGAAAAAGAGTCATCTGTGGATGTTTTGCATGGGGATTCTTGAGGATCACAGTCAAAGGGTTTGTGAGTTCTTGTGATTAAATTCTTTGTAAACATGTGTATACCTGTAGAGAGGTGAAATGTCATCCTGTTCTGATTCCTGGGTCCCAGTTTTGCAGATGAAGTCACTGAGCACATGTAGAGAGATGAAGTCACACATGCCTGTCTTCCTTGTGCTTCTGGTTCCAGGTCTGGGCTCTTCTTCCTGGATCACAGAGGTGGCCTAATTTCTTTTCTCTTGCCAGTCTGTTCACATATGCTGTCAGCTAGCCAGGAGTAGTTTAGAAAGTATATGTGAGCTCCTGCCTGCTCACCACCAAGAATGTACAAATGCAGAGAACACACCTCTCTAGGAGTGCCCAATGTGGAAGAAGAGTCTGAGTGTAAATCAGTCAGTATACTCCTGTGTGTTAAGTACCCTTGAATGTGAGAGGCCAGAGGCAAGTGACAGATGGCCATCCATTTGAACCTTTGTAATAGGGGAAATCTTCATGGGAGACCTTATGCTGAGATCTGAGTGGGACATCGTGTGAGGGTGGCTCTGTAGAGGGAGCAAAGTTACCCTTTAATTCCATGGCTCTCCAGACCAGAACTTTGCAGCATCCCTGATGTTGTCTTAAGTTGCCCTCCAAAACGTGGGGCACTCCAACTGGCTCCCTGACTTTCTTGGGCAGCAAGGGCAGGTCTTGCTCTGGGTCAGATGTTTTCCCTGTGTGCTGGTTGGGGTGCCTTTTTACATATTCACTCTGTCCTTCCCGAGCATGCCAGATGGGTCTTGTTGGCTGATGCTTTTAAGAAGAAGGTGTTTCTTTGGTCTTGGTCTGCATGCTTTCTGTCAAGTCTTGGCTTTGAACCATACTTGGGTCTGAGGAGGGAGAAAACCCGCCTTTTGGGATGGAGGCAGGTAAAGAGGGTGTCTTCTAACTCCTGCATCAAGTACAAGTCAAGCCACTTGGGGCTCCTCTTTAGTACAGGGCAGGGCCTTTCAGAGTTGGGGGTATGGCAGCATGTGCATGCAGAACTTGACTTTGTTGAAGTTTCTTTTTAAGTGCACATTTGATCTTTGTTGATTAAGGATGTGTTGTTACATGTCAGGTACTGTTGTAAGAACTAACTTATGTATTGACTTAACTTTCAGATGGTCCCTGGTGGACCATTATTAGCCGCATTTTACAGATGGAGAAGCTGAGATACAGAGCATTCATACAGCTGAATGGCTCAAGATTAGATTTTAGTCCTATGAGTCTGGCTGGTTCTGTCATTATGCACCCTTGACTGAGTCCCTCTAGCTGTGTCTTTCTAGTCCTGGCCTCATGAGAATCTCAGGTTATGCTTTGAACTGTTTTCTTAACCCTAGCTGTGGAGCTGGACAGTTGAGGAGCCTGCACTGCTCTTCCTGAATGCCTCCTGAGTTTCGAGTGCTTTCTTCTACAACCCACTGTTGTTTTGCACTTTGTAGAATTTGTCATGATGGCACATTTGACTTTTGGGTTAGCAATTTCATTCTTTTTGGTTGGAGTGTGATGTAACATGCTTTCTAAGTTCATTAGCTAATGAATTTTTTTTTAACTTTTAGTCGAAAAACTAAAAGTTAAACTCATAGAAAAGTTGCAAGAAAAAATTAATGCAAAAACATTATTTTTTTTGTACTCAGATTTATCTGTTAGTAGCATTATACATTATTTGCCTTATCCCCCACCACCACATCTGCACATAGGTATGTACCAAAACACAGTGTTTTTTTTCTGAACTCTTTGAGAGTAAGTTGCATGGATACATGATCACATGGGCTGCAGGAAGCAGGAGGTGGCTCCTACTTAGCCTAACCCCAGTGCCCTAACACCTGCTTTGTGCCAAGCACTGCATCATGTCAAATACAAAGATCTCCAGGGCACAGGAAGACTTGTGGTTAAAGCTTAAGTTGGTCCAGGTGAAGGCAAATAGGCATCAGTGCACTTTAGAGTTATTGTTTGAATTGATGGTTCTGATCTTAGGAATGATGGCTGCTGCTTTTGAACATATGTGCTTTTGTTAGGCTGTGCTTTCCTATCCTTTCCTGGTCTGCTTCCCAGGCATATGTCGTGGGTATTTTCCTCACCTGGCATTTCCTGAGGTACTGGATAATTATGTCCTCTTAGCACTGGTGGAAGTCAATCTGGATGTATGTATGTCCTCCTAGCAGTGAATGAGGTAATCTAGTGGGGCTCGTGTCCTTTTTTTGGTGGGAGGTAATCTCGCTGTGTATGTCCTCCTAGCAGTGATGGCAGATGTTCTAGCTGTGTGCGTCCTCTTAGTGCTGGTGGTGGTCTAGTAATTGATCTGCTATACCTGAGCCTTTAACTACTGGAGAGTTCCTTTGCCCCTCTCTTTTTTTTTTTGTGGTACTGGGTCTTAAACTCAGGGCCTTCACCTTGAGCCACTTTACCAGCCCTTTTTGTGATGGGTATTTTCGAGATAAGGTCTCTCAAACTATTTGCCCAGGTTGGCTTCACACTGCAATCCTCCTGATCTTTGCCTCCTGAGTAGCTAGGATTACGGGTATGAGCCACTGGCTCCCGGCCCTTTGCCTCTCTTGATCTTTGGCTTCAGGAGACTTTTCCTAGTTTTTTAATTCTCAGTGTAACGTGTCAGTATAACACTTAGAGCTCAGTAGAGAGCCTGTGACTGATTAAAAGTCTTCTTGGTGTGCTGCTGGGTCTTTTGCTCATCACATGCTTTTTAGTCTGGGTGCTAAGCAGGTCAGTAATCCCAAAAGCCCAGTTTTGGGACAACAGTTGGCTGAGCAGAGGGATGTGTAGGCTTCTGTTGTGTTTATTACATGACAGCTGGGTTTTTGTTTCCAGCTTGATTTACCAATTGTCTGGGGGGGTTTAGTAGAAGCTAGTCGCATCTCATTCTGCCTTTCTTTGTTGGGCTGTGTGTCCTGTCAGTATGAACGTAATAGGCCTTGGCGGGGCAGGTCTAGGCTAGAGGTGAATGGCTTGGGGGGCCTGTAGTTACAGTGCAGTGGGATGTGGGTCCAGATGTCCTAGGACTTAAGTCTGTCCCACAGCTCGCTCCATGACTTTCCTGACCTGGAACATGGACATCATCATAGGGCTTTGTGGAGATGTGGGATTAAAATGGGTAAGTGTAAAGTTCCAAAGAATATCTGATACAAAGCAAATGCTTCATATAGGCCAGCTGTTGGTTTTATCCACAGATGGACTTCAAGGAACCCCCGAATCTGTGCCAGATGGTGTGTGCATGTGGGCAGTATCTCTAGAACAGGGCTCCCTCTGGGAGGCAGCAGAGCACAGTGCAGTGGTTTTGAGTTCTGTCTGCTACACAGCCAGTGTTGTAGGAGTCTTAGCTGTTCCAGTGATATTAGAGGAGCATGTGTGACTTGATGAGAGGCCCCAAAACAGCCACCATGCTCTTTGCACAGTGCTAGGATTGTTTACACTAACAGATTTTGCTTGTTGTCACATTCCCAGTGTGTCCCCTGGGTCTGGTCAGGCACAGAGTGGGCACTCAGAAATCAGTTACTGAGCAAATGCACGAAAGAGCCACAGCTCCTTTGGCGAGCCAGCCTTGCAGCTGCCCTGGTTGGGGGTGGC